CCCATACATGATGTTGTACCTCGTTCCTTTCCTTCAGGGAACAGTAGTTATATGCATAACATTACGTTTCCACATGTTCGTGTTCACACAGAAGCCTTATTTACAACTGTGCTTTACAATTAAAATAAATGTAAATCAATAATTTATTTTATTATACCAGCGTTTACCTTCCCAACAGGACCACCTGCCCCACCCTGACATGTCATGAATGTCTGTAAATATTCTGACGGTACCAGTTCTCTGCAGCTGATACATGATCACCCACCCTGTCCAGGACTCAAACATCATCAGTAAAACTGCTAACGACTGCTAATAAACTCACGCCTGGGACTTTAAGAAACATTTTTTTTATCTTTCTTTAAAGCAGCAGCGGACTGGTCATCACTGTTCTCCTGTGAAAGTCAGTTGTTTGTGTCAGAAAAAAAATCTGTTTCTTTTAATCTAAATGCTTTTCATGCAGCTTCCTGCTTGTTGGGATAATCAGAATCAGAATCAGCTTTATTGTCATTCACACACAACATCAAAGATACAACRCAGAAATAAATTAGCAGTTTAGAACATAATAAAACATGTTAGATGTTATCCATGTGTCTGTTCTCAGCTCACAGTCAGATTTTCAAATCTGCTTTATTTCTTGCCTGAATTTTTGAATAATAATTTGTTTAAACAAATTTATTTCCTAATGAACGTCAGGGCAACACGGAGTGACAGCGCACAGAGGAGGAAACGTGTCACCAACCGACTATGGCTTCACTGATTTGGATAAAATTTTGCAGCAAAAAATAAAAAAAGTGAATAAGCATTGAYTGATAAAACATAAAACACAGGTCACCACTTTGAAAATAGAGCCTTTCCATAACAAACAGACAGAAACCAGGGATGAGTGTGATGCAGGAGGAAGAGGCCAAAGGCAGCTTTTAATCATTAAAGCAATGAACAAAACAAGTATATTTGTTTATTTGTTCAGAGACTGTTCAACAGCCCTACAGCACCGTGCYGGACAGGTTTTACAGTTAATATAAACATAAATAAAAAGCTCAACGTAAAGTGGCTCAGTCATGTATGCAGGCATCTGCGTCCAGAGCATCTTTATTAGCTTGTGCACACACAGATACAAGCAGGCATTTAGCTAGAGGGGCGTTGGGGCTAGGCCTGTCACGATAACAAATTTTACTGGACGATAAATTGTCGCAGGAATTATTGCGATAAACCACAATATTGTTGGAGACCAGTTTAAAATAATATAATGATATAACGCCCCTGTTTATGGAAGTTTAAATTAAAATTTACACATTGTAAAAAAAAGAAAACACCTGTTGGTAATCCCAAGGCGTCACCAGCTGTGAAGGTGTCAGAAACCTGAAGACGCTCCTCTGGCTAAAAGCCTGTTCACAGGCTCTCATTCTACACAGGTTAGAGACCCTGCACCTGGCAAACACCTGACACCTCTTTACGATAAGATGTAAAAAAGAGGGAGACATGAAGAAAACAAAAAAAAAAAACAAAAATAATTGTCTTCATTTTAATTTATCTTCCTCAAGTTAATTTATCATATGATTAATTGATTTATTGTTTATTGTGACAGGCCTAGTCGGGGCGTCTCTGACACCGTGGAGTGATTYGCGACGCCTTGTGGCTGCATCACGACGCCCTGGTCCGCTTTACGAGACCTCGTGGACGCGTCTATAGAAGTACACGAAGCTGCGCACGTGCATTGATTTTGCCCGACGCCGGAGCTGCTCCGGAGTCGATCTGCACAGATCACGTTGCACCAACAGGAAAATGAACGAGCACAACTTCTGTATAGGGCTGCCATGATTAGTCGATTAGTCGACGACTAATCGATTATTAAAATAATTGATAACTAATTTAATAATCGATTAATCATTTTCTTTTTTCTTTTTGTTCTTTACTTTGTTTTTCTCTCCAAACTGCTTTGACACCTTCCACTGCCACATCTGCCTTTCTGTCCTTGACACACATGCACAGTAGTGGTAACTGGGGTAGGCCGTGGACGTCACAAGACATTATAC